GGAGTTTCCCGCATCATCTAGCCGCCTAGTCTCGGACGTTTAAACGGCAGAATAGTCCTGACAGCGGAGATCTGTTTAGTCAATGGACGCCAAAAGCAGTAGGTGGAAAGACTCAGACCTGGAGCACGAGGCAAATTTCTATCTCTACGGACCATGACCTGCCATTTCTCCAGGGTGCTCGGCGGTAGCGGACGCGCCGGATACCACCTGCTGAACGCACACATGGTCCTTCTGCAACTCTGATCGACGGACTAAATCCTGCAATCGTGGCCTTTCGCTGAAACATCGATCTGACGACGATGAGGGGCGTTGGCACTGCTTGGGGTTATACATAGCGGTCTGGTCAACCCGCGATCGAATGACCAGATCTAAATCTAAATACGATCATCCTGTCGGCATCGGGCCATATATCTGCTGTAACACGGGGTTGGGCAGCCTACCTGCCTTGGACGGCTACACACCTGCGAACGAAGCGGGCATGTACATGGCAGAGAGGCAATTTTGTTCAACCACTTGCTAGTCACGGAAGCCAGAATGTTTCAGTGAACGCGTACCCGGGACGAAAGAGTAAAAGAAGCGAGTGAGGTGAGAAAGAACGAGGACCTGTCGAACAGATGCAAATTTCAGCACACGCTACTATCTCGAAGAGAAGGCCTGATCCAGATGGACCGCAGTACTCGGAGCAAGTTTTACCCTTCTTTGTTTACAGTAGTCGTCTTATACCAGCTGGTCACTCATCCATGTTTCTACCATGGGCGGAACGATTCTGGGAGCTTGCAGCAGATACAGAGAACCTCTTCAACGTGCCGATCCGGTCAAGCTTTTGGAGACGGTTACATTGCAGCGTTAGGTGATCCCCAAGTGTTCAACACCATCTTGACGTTTCGGCCGTCCACCCGCCTCATCGCACTGCGTGGTCCGGCACAGGATTGTGACAAGGAGGAGGGCGTGGTCCGTCCGCCTGCCAGAACAACCTCCAATGCAGCTGGGCTGCTGCAACGAAACGTTCTCCAAGTTTGAATGACTGCGCGCGTGCATCATGGGGATACACAACACGCTGATTGTGGTAGCTTGCACCGCAGGAACGCAATATCAATGGCTTTATATGCTCCAGGATACAATCAAGGTGAGCGATTTAGATACTCAGTGCATGCAAGATATGGCTTTTGTGAGACGCAATGCTCTCAAGTAAAACGGCTCGCGGTGCAAACTCCGAGTTGATGAGACTGAACCCCTGAATTGAACGTCGCATCACCCATGTTGGTCAGCTGCGTCCTTTATTATAAGCTTGTTGAACTGCAACATGTGAGTTGATTTGGTCCATGGAACGTATCAAGAGCCATGGTATCAACTGCCGGTCGCGGTGAGCTTGAATGAAATGACGACGTTGGATGAATATCTCGAGCCTATAGTCAGCAGAGCATCGCAAGCCAATCGTCGGACGAATCCCGAGACGTAGACGAAGTTGGCCAGCTCATGCAATAATCCCCCCATACCAGTACAACCAAAATCGAACCCCCCTCAGTTCAAACGACCATTGCTAAAAGGTTGAGAAGTAACACCGCAATTACCTCTTCTAGATGAATATTACATCTACCGACTCTCACGAGGCTGTCATGGGAAACACACCTTCCAAGACAGTTTGAGCACAACACCAACGTAGTCGCGGGGATCTTTTGTTTCCAATACCGAAACCACTTTCCTTAAACTGTAAATCTGGGGCCGTGTTTGCACGGCATTTGTATAAAACCCATCATCACCAGTGTGAAAGGTATACATACGTTGGATAAAAGGCCTCTCCGGAGATTTTAATGTCCGTCGAATCCGTGTGCTTGACGGATGTGACCCTGTGCCGTGGACGGCAGTGCTGAGGCTTGAGGCTTGTGCCGAGCATGTATGTATGTAGGAATGTATGGTATTTGAGATGTCCATTGGGGCGAGGGTGGGCTTAGGGTACTTTGGGGGGTCGGGGGATGAAGTATCCGGTTTTGGATCGGGGGATCGCTGAAGGGGTTTTGGACGTGCGGTTTCTCGTGAGACGCTGCCGGTTGAGGCTGGGAGCGAGTGCGAAGTTGGTAGTGAGGTCGCATTTTGTTGGTGTTGAGCGTGGAGGAGCAGTCGGCGCCTCGTGCTGCTGGGAGTATACAACAGTATTTCCAGGCCCGACAAGTGCTGGATACATGGTCCGGGACTGCTTTGCAGAGATGACATGGTATACTTCTATCGTGGAGCTGGGGCATGTGTATTGGTTTGCGTTTGGGTCCTCGTGCCTGTCTTCTAACTGGCAAGACCAGACGACTTCGGCTCGATGGCTCCTGCATTCTCCTATAAGTAGGTATTGATGGTAATTCCAACTGATACTAATATCTACGCGTGATCTATCTTTGGAACCATAGCATGTGTCAAACAACGTGGGCGATTCTAATTATATACTTTTGTCTTGGAGTACAAGTTGTGCTCTTCTGTGTAGGTATGTTGGTATAGTGGCCCAGGAGGGAGCGTGACCACCTCAAGATGCATCATGTCGTTTGGAGAAACCATGTAGGTGACAATAGTACCAGAGAATGCGTGAACATGCTTAGCATCGCCCTCTGGATATACAGCCAATGCAATATTTTCCCCAGTTCCAGAAGCTACGAGATGAAATTGCCAGGTTTTACACGAGTCTACAATACGGCTACATGCTTGGTATTTATACCGAAGCGTAGATGTGGTGGCTATACATCGGGTTAGCAGTCCCGTTGCGTTGGCCTACTTTTGTCCACAATCTTTATTGGAACCTATTTAGTTTATACATCCCTGACTCTAGCTGGGTGGTGATTCTAGGTAGTTTGCTTCTGTCTGTCACTTTGAACATTACCTTTGCAGATGAGTTGGGCCGCTCGAGCACGTAGCATCTGTAGATGGCCATATTTTCAACCACCGTCATCATAGCATACGAGCTATGTTGATGTTTCGAAGCCACTTAGCCGCGTACGATACGTCCGCAAAAGCTGTGGAACCGAGAGAGACAGTGGCGAGTGAATGTACAATCGTATCCATGACAGAATGAGCATGGTTTTCTCCTGCTACATCTCTGCCTGCGCTGCCGACATTCAGGTTTCCTACTTGCAAGTTTGTTGCCACTTGTGATCTCGTTTGTTGACTCGCGCTGTCGCGGAAGGAGTTCTTGTTCTGCGTGCTTCTGGCCAATGGAAGACGGTACCGGTGTCGAAACGAAAATTGAGCATAACAAACATTGAGTGGACTGACTGCATGGGTTGATTCTTGAGAGCCGAGTGGGAGACGACAGTTGGAGCATCTGCGATCTGATTGTAAGCATGTTCTCTGTACAGAAGAAAAGCGCACCCTTGGAGCGACTCTAGTGAGATATTGGGTTTTTGGATAGCCACAGATACTTGCTCCTAAACTCTACTGTCCGTCATTCGATTCACTTCAGCATCGCTTCGGAAGTACAGGGCCAGTGTGCGCCATGTCTCATATTCCCAGTGCGAAAATGGCTGTCAATTCCATTCATCATCCTATGCGTGATCCTCCGGAGAAACCTTTCAACGCGCCATGATATGACCATATGCAAACAAGTAATAATACAAGCAAATAGTAGCCGGGGAAAAAGATAGCCCTCCTCGTCCGAGATCTCTTACATCTGGTCCAGTTTCACCACTTAACTCCAAAGAAGCTTAGCTGTTTCTTTCCTACGCTCGAGGTAGAGTCGGCATTTTCGAGGTAAATTCGTTCGTGGCCTTTGACATCAAGGAACAGATATTTGTATTCATAATCGGATTCGCCTCGTCGCCTCACCATGTGTAGCTGCGCCACGCCGTTTTGATTTGGGCCGTCGACCTGTTTCGCACTCGGCATCAATAAACATGTGACGCTGTTTTTTTCAGACCATGTTACTTACGTGGAAGTGCATCAATAAATGCTCGTTTCCTTGTTGGTCGACACGCTCTGAGGACCTGAAAAGCAGGTCAACATCATTTCACTTGGAACTAACACCACGGCACAGAACCTACGCGACTGGTCTTGCTCTTCTCCACTTGTTCGTAGTCTCTTCCCCGTGTGCAATGATTTTCTTGGCATCTCCGAGCACTTCAATGCATCGTGGATCCTTCTTAATCTTGTCGACGGCCCGGTTGAATTGGCTGATTTTGCTGTCCGGTGCGAAGACGTCTGTCCACAGAAAATACCCAACTGCGCCCTGTTTCTTTGGTCAGAACTGTGCTCTCCACAACCTAGTTACGCATCAGGAATATAGACGAAGCTTACGGTAAGCGCCAGACCGACTAGGACGAAGCCAAAGTTGAATGTCTGCTGTGTTGCACGGGCAGTCTTTTCTCCTGCAGAGAGCTCGCTCCAAGGGACATAGCCATCGTCGTTGAAAGGAGTAACGCTGCGGCGTTTTGGGCTCAGAGATTCACTCCCTCCGTGGCCGCTCTGAGTTGCATATGATCGATTTCGAAACACGCAACGCATCGATATCGGGGCGAAGAGACTCATCGTGGGCCGGATGGCTAGCATTGTGGTGGTGGTTGGTTTCATTTTTGCGACTGTACAGCTTCCATCATACAGGTGCTTTTCCTGTTGGTTCTCGTGAAACGGGGCTTTCTTTGTCGCAAAGGTATTTCGTATCGTTACCGGCTTCCTAGGATGTCTAACCAAGCCGTCGCTGTCGTCACTGAACCTTGTGAAGCTGGTTTATGTCTGTAATACCTTTTAGATGTTCACGAGGATCAAGCCAAGGTTGGATGTGGGGTTTGATTTGTAACCCAATCAAGATTAGCGCCACGCATATGCCACTTGGCCCGGCTGGACCATCGCCCCTCGCATCACGTCCCCTTAAAGACTGGACGACTTGTCCTGTTCTCCAACAGCAATCGTGCGCATCGCCTCTATCCCTGCCCAATATTAGCCATCGGAAACGGGTGGCTTTTATCTGGTGAATACGATAGTCATCAAACGTACGCACTTGCGACTACGACGCGCTCCGCCTGCCTAAAATGAGTGGTCTCGCTACTAAGCAACAGTCGCTCAAGTTATTTGAGAAGCTCAAGTCGAAGCCTGCGAATAAGGTGAATGCTAGTTGCGATGCATTGGAGTCGCGTGCGATTACTGACCTCCTCGACCTAGATATGCTTTGACTGCGGCCAAAAGAACCCGACCTGGACTTCAGTGCCCTTCGGTATCTATCTGTGTCTGGACTGCTCGTCCAACCACCGAAACCTAGGCGTTCATATCTCCTTTGTACGATCGACCAACTTGGACCGTATGTATACCCAGCAACTATTTGCGCGAACTCATTTAACAACTGAATTCAGAATGGCAATGGGACCAGTTGCGTTTGATGAAGGTGGGTGGCAATGAATCAGCCACCAAGTTCTTCCAGCAAAACGGAGGAACTGCGGCATTGAACAGCAAAGACCCCAAGACGAAATACCAGTCCAATGCGGCCACAAAGTATAAAGATGAGCTTAAGAGACGGGCTGCTCGCGATGCTAAAGAGTTTGTTATGGCCAGGCCCTGCTTTATCACTGTCTGGGAAATCGCCCTAACGAATAATTCACAGATACCCCGGCGAAGTTGTCATGACCGACGGCGCCGACGATGGCTCCTCAACTCCTGCAGGAGAGCCTGACGACGATTTTTTCTCTTCGTGGGATAAGCCCGCCATCAAGCGACCTACGCCGCCCCTCTCGCGAACGGCGACCCCTCCCGTCGTTGGCCGAACTCCCTCACCGTTCTTGAACGCTGGCAATGGCAATGGAAAGGACACTCCTCGACCAGCGTCATCTCTCGCCAAGTCCGACTCTACCGGTGAATCAAAGCCTGCCGCCAGCCGCCTTACTACGTCCGCTGCCCTCCGCAAGACTACGACCGCAGGCGGTCCCAAGAAGCTCAATGTGCTTGGGGCTAAGAAGACCCAAAAACTTGGCGCAAAAAAAGTCGCCGGTGACTCCATTGACTTTGATGAAGCCGAGAAAAAGGCAAAGGAGGAGGCCGAGAGAATTGCTAAGCTAGGGTACGACCCGGAAGCCGAGGACGAGCCTACTAAAGATGCTCCGGGGGCCGCTACCATTCTGTCACCTACTCCTGTGAGCCCTCCCAGATCCGGCACCAGCTCTCATACTCGTCAAAAGTCGAACGCCGAAGTCGAAAGACTGGGAATGGGTGTTGCACGTCTGGGATTTGGTCAGGTTGGAGGGGGGAAATCGACCGCCCAACCAGCAAAGAAGAATGCAGGCGGCTTTGGATCTGTAGGACCTGTTAAGGCTGTTGAAGGCAAGATTACTAGACTACTGATTTTCGGACTACTTCTCTAACACCGCTACAGATGACTCGAACAGCTACGCACGAAACAAGTTTGGCGCTCAGAAGGGCATTTCGTCCGATGAATACTTCGGCAAGGGATCGTTCGATCCCAATGCCCAGGCAGAAGCCAAGTCTCGTCTGCAAGGATTCGAGGGTGCATCCGCCATCTCCTCCAACGCCTACTTTGGACGACCTGAGGAAGATATCGAGGAAGAGTATGGCGATTTGGAATCAGCCGCCAAAGATTTCGTTCGCAAATTCGGCATCACCGCTAGTGACGACCTGGAAAATCTTACAAACGTCCTTGGCGAAGGAGCTACCCGCCTGCAGGGCGCTATTCGCAACTACCTCGGTAGTTGAGAGGACTCGGACCCGCTCGGACGACAGTGTGGACACGACAACGCATCTCATCCCTTAGAGATGGTTCTTCAGGCGAGCTTGGTCTGAGCAGAGGGCCAAGAAGCCAGTGGGGTGAATTTTTTTTTTTTACGCGACGAGGCAGGATGTACCTAAAAAGACCAACATCAATGGAATGATGATGCTGTATGGGTGAACGGCCGTCGCAATCTGCTAATAATGGCGTACGTGTGAAGTTAAATTGGCTGTAGTTGATTGGCATGAAAAATAGACGTTTTCTTCTTCTTTACTTCTCCAACATTTCGACGTGGCACAAGTTTCTATATATTAGATCCGTAGGATATCACTTGTGAATGAAGACTCGGAACAACAAACTTTACTATCGTAAGTTGAATTTTGAGATTATGCATGCGTATCAAAATGCTGTATATACTCTACATGATCGTGACAAAAGAAACCATATAAACATTCTTGTTTTACAGCTTAGCAATCATCTGGTTACCCTTCTTGATCCAGGCAACAGCATCGTTGACAAACTCGTCAACGACAGCTTTGGCGGACTTCTGCTCGTTGACAACTGCGGCACACTTGCCCATCAGGTAAGGGCGGAACTGCTCGAGAGGGTCATCACCCTCATCGTCGTCCTCCTCTGCCTCAGAGGTAGCATTACTGCTGTAGGACTCGACACCGCTATGCTCTTTAGCTTCGCCACCCATGAATCGCTCAAGATCAACCTCATAAGGGATGGTGCCCTTGGCGGTCAGCTCCTTCATCTCCTGGGTTCTGTTGGTCTCCCAGTCGTTGATGTATGGGTTGTTGCGAACACGCATGGGGCGACCAGTGAAGATAATGGTACGGATGTTATCGTCGTGACCAGCAGTGCGGACGGCATCCTTGTGAGCCTTGGGAGCACCAGCCTCATCGGTGAGAATGAAGCGGGTTCCAACCCAGACACCGCTGGCACCCATCATAAGAGCAGAGGCGAGGAGTTGGCCGTTGTGAATACCACCAGCGGCAACGACCTGCACGGGGCCTCCGGAGACGGGGGACTTGTGGCCCTTGCAAGCCTCGACGACTGCGGGAATCAGAACGGTGGTGGGGATATCACCGGTGTGACCACCACCCTCGCCACCCTGGGCGCAGATGATGTCGACGCCGAGGTCAAGGCACTTCTTAACGTGCTTGACGTGGCCGATCATGTTCATGTACAAGATACCGGCCTTCTGCAGCTTCTCGACGACATGCTTGGGGGGGACACCGACGGCAGAGACGAACAGCTTGGCGCCAGACTCGATGACGATGTCGACGAGCTCATCGAGCTTGCCCTTGGTGTAATCGTAGCTGTGGGTTGGGAAAAAAAAAGGGGGTGCATGTTAGCCTCTCTCTTTCTCTCGACGTTGTCATAAATGGCCGGTTGGTTGGCGCATTTAAAGCATGTGATTGTGCACCACAGGAGGACCCAGCCTAAAGCGTGGGGTTGGTCAAGACTCGGGGCTACTTACTTGGTCTTGCGGGCATTGCCACCGACCTGGGGAAGAAGCAAATCGACGCCGAAGGGGGCATTCTTGTCGGTCAGGTACTCCTTGAGTTCAGAGATCTGCTCGCGAAGCATGTCGGGGGTGTAGCCGACACCGCCAATGACGCCCATTCCACCGGCGTTGGTAACTGCAGCAGCCAGCTTAGGACCGGCAGCAACATTCATACCAGCGAGCAGGATGGGGTGCTGGATCTTGAAAAGATCCGTGATGGGGGTTCGAATCTGCTCTGTACGGCGCACATGCCATGGTCAGTTCTCAAATTGTGACGGGGAAGAGAGCGAGCAATGTGTCGCGACATTGGCGGCGAGACTGTCTTGCAGGGCGAGCAAAACTTACGAGGAGAGGCCATCTTGTCGGATGTTGTGTCTGGAGGTGCTGGGAAAGAGAATGTTCAACGACAAAAAAAGGGGTATTAACGGTTATGCAAGAAGTAGGAAAGAAGCCACGAGCACGGGAAAGATGGAGAGTTGTAGATAGAAATAGTCGGTCCGCTCACATGAGAACTCGAGCCATGCGACAATGGCCAAAGTGGTTCAGGAAGCGTCTTGGGTGGAAAGAACAGCCAAACTAGCCAATGATTCGCCACGCGCAGCTGAGTTGTGCCGAGGCTCGTGAAGGTCCGTCTGGCGCTAGTATCGTCTTGGGTCTAGCGCGGTATGCTTCGAGGGGAGACTCTGGGGAAAGAAGCCGAGGAAGCAGAGAGGCGATGCGGGTGATGAGTCGGGCGTCGCGGGGCAAGCAGACTGTCCGTCGGAATGGACGCCAGAGCGCGGAGAGAGCGGCTTGTTTGGGGTAGGAACTTGGAAGCCTCTGTTGATTCTTGATTACCTACCTGTGACCGAGCCGCTTGGGCAATTGTATGCACGAACATGTCCTGGCTCCTACATGTACCGTGCAAACTGCGCGGGCAAGTGGCGAGAGGAGACGCAGCCCTGAGCCGACAATGTTGACTACGTGCCGCTGGTGGTTTACTCGTATCGATGCTTTCCTGCATTTGCGACTTATGATCAGCCCCCCAGTCATGCATGCTGCCATCTGCCATCTGCCATGAACGCATTTCCGTGGTCTCAGCACCAGCACTGGGGTCGGTCGACTTGAGTCTCTGCCGGGCCGGATCCCCTCATATCTGTGCCGGAATGCATGCCATAGCCGGTCGTCAGTCGGAGCACTCATGTGCCATGGCAGGGGCTTCGACCGGCCGTCAACCCGTGGCGGCACGACGTGACATTCGGAGTTGGGCCACGTTGAAGATCGGACGCCAGTGCGTGCCCAAGCAAAAGTCATCCACATGCGGACGCGGACGGAAGCCGGCGATTCCTTTCTGCCGCGACGCCGCGCCAAGTTTCCAAAAACTCGAAACAACCAGAACCCCAAGGAGCCAGAGCCAGAGACAGACAGACCTACGGGGCATATCACAGACAAACCCCAACATCATTGGCGAACCGCCTTTTGTCTGCTCCCCTTCTGAATACCGGTGACGTTGGCACAAATGGCTTCGACCCTTTCGCCCGCAGCTGTTTTGCGTACCCTGCAGGCAAACCGGGGGCTCCGGCAGGTGCAAACTGCTCGTCGGTTCTTCTCAACGCCGCCACGAGGAGTCCTTTCCGTCTCAGAGCCTTCACTTCGGACGCTGCAGCATGCGTCAACTGCTTCGCAGCAAAGCCTCACGCCACTGGGAATCCAAAAATCGTCCAGACGACACTCTTCTGCGTGTGCCTGTCATGGCGGTAGCCGCAAGAAGAAGGCGTACATTGCCCTCGGAAGCAATCTGGGCGACCGAGTGGCCGAGATAGAAAAGGCATGTAGCGAAATGGATCGTCGAGGCATTCGCGTAACGCGCACGAGTAGTCTATGGGAGACGGAGCCCATGTATGTTTTGGACCAGGACGCATTCCTAAACGGAGCTTGTGAAGTAAGTTTGCACGAGTCCCCAGCGGCGTTGAAGGCGAGATGCTGGAAATGCACCAAAAAGTACCAGCCAACTTGGCTTTTCTTCTTCTTCTTCTTTTTTTACTGATTGCAACTTCAGGTGGAGACAGATCTTGAACCACTCGCCTTGTTGGACCAGCTTCAATCAATAGAAAATGAAATGGGTCGTCGGAAGCTCATTGATAAGGGCCCTCGCAATATTGACTTGGACATACTGCTTTACGGCGATGAAACCGTAAGCCATGAACGACTCAATGTGCCTCATATCGGTATCCCAGAACGCGAGTTTGTTTTGAGGCCATTGTCAGAGTAAGCATGCGCTCTTACAATCACGATGCCTGCAGTCACCTGGCGGAATCTAACATACATCACTCAAAGATTGGCGCCCTCAAAACCTCTTGACGCGTCAAAACCATGGAAACTGGTCCAGGACTATCTCAACGAACTTCCGACGGGGAAACCCCTCTCATCAGTAACTCCGCTTCGTGGTGCTTGTCAAAGTCTCATGCCTCTTGTTCACAATAGAAAGACTCAAGTCATGGCCATCTTGAACCTGACTCCAGACTCGTTCTCGGACGGGGGCAAGAACGACTTGAGCAATCTTCGTGACACAGTATTGCGTCATATCCAAGGTGGCGCTACAATTATTGATGTAGGGGGCCAGTCAACGGCTCCCGGCCGCCCTGAAGTCTCCGCGGAGGAAGAAGCGTCCCGTGTCATTCCAGCAATCCAACTTATACGATCTATTCCGGAAGCAAGCAATATTGCCATTAGCGTGGACACATATCGGGCTTCTGTAGCTGAAAGAGCCGTAGATGGCGGCGCCGATATCATCAACGATGTTTCAGCTGGGTTGCTTGACCCGGATATGTTGTCGACAGTGGCGCGTCTTGGAAAAACAATCTGTCTAATGCATATGCGCGGCACCCCCCAAAATATGACGCAACTTACCAATTATGACGACGGATTAGTCCCCACGGTCGCGTCGGAGCTTCTCCAGCGCATCTCGGCAGCTGAAGAGGCCGGCATTCGGCGATGGCGCATCATTCTAGATCCTGGCATTGGGTTTGCAAAGACGGCTCATCAAAACCTCGAGCTACTGAGACGCTTGGATGAACTAAGGGCCTGGCCCGGTCTTGGGGGTCTGCCATGGCTCGTTGGCTCGAGCCGCAAGAGCTTTGTCGGCAAGGTAACCAAGGCAGAGGAGCTGTCGGACAGAATCTGGGGCACGGCAGCCACGATGGCAGCGGCAGTGCAAGGGGGAGCAGATATAGTTCGCGTGCATGACGTCTCAGAAATGGTCAAGGTGACGGCCATGGCAGATGCAATCTGGAGACCCTCGTGAGCGCGGGATGCACACGGCGCACGGCGAACGCTACATCGTGGAGAGTCTGTTTGCCTCCTTCAGCCGCTGAACCCAGGAATTCGGAGAAAAAAAAACAGGATGGAACGCAGGGCAGGGGGGGGGCCAGCATCACAAGTCTCTTGAAGTACCGCGACTTTGGACGTATGCCAAGAAAATGAAATCCGATGAGCTCCTTGCCACATAATCTAGGATACGGCCGAGAAGCATCCCCGAACGCAGGAAGACCCGAACGCAGGCGCCTCCATTCTTGCTCCCCCTCCGCTGTGCATTGTACATGTATCCTTTCATGGCCCCTTAGCTGACCCCCAACTAGGGTGGACGGGATGCATTCTCCTCACCGGTGGAACAAGATATCAACAACATCTGAACCCTGCCCATGTTTTGCTAACACATTTGCCAGTCACCATCCAGTTTGGGCAACAGCGTAGCACCATGGAGCAAAGATTAAAGAGACGTGATGGCATGGCATGGCATGATGGCGACCCCAGCCTGGATGATTGCTTTGGCATCCGGCTGCGTCCCAGATGCACAGGCGATCACCGGTGTAAGTGTGCATATGTAAGCCTCTCCCGTTCATTTTATTTTGACAGGTCGCGTCCAGCCAACCACGACGCAATTTCTGCTTCAACAGCCGAGATCCACTTTATCCGCTGGGCTTGGACCAATCCGTCGCTGCGGGAAGACACAGCCTCATGTAATGTACATACATACATAATATCTGTACGGAGTATCAATACTACCGAGCATAGCGAAAAGGCGAAAAATTTTCCTGCTTTGCATAACCAAGGGTTGCCCAGCATTTGGGCTCCTGGGCCCCTTCAGCAACGTCATCAACGTCAGCTGAAACATCACAGCACTGACAAGTGTCAAGGCAGCGGAGGAGGTCAACTGACTGCATCATGTCGACACGTGTGTGAGAGAGTCAGTCAACAAGCGTCGACAGGCATTAAAAAGCATGCGGTTATGGGTATGCTACGTGGTGATTGCGAATTTGGCGGGCCTCCAACTTTTGGCAACATGATGCTGGGTGCTGGGGCCTGGGGAGAAGCGCCTGCTCTGGTCATCAAGTGCCAATCAAAGCCAGAGTAGTAGTTCGAGGCTCGAACCAACGGGGCGCCCAGGGGACGACTGAGGAAGCGCAGAAGGTGAAGCCTCTGCCACACCTTGCGTTACTTTTTCTTCATCGGCTCGGTAGCGGCGTCCACGGGTGTCATGCTGTGAGACTTGAGATGAGGCACTGTAGGTATCGAGCAGATCCGGTAGGGCTGAGACCTTCAACTTGTGCTTTCTGGACGAGACGGCAGGACGGGCGGGTAGGAACAACAGCAGCAGCAGCAGCAGCAGCAGCAACCGCAACAGAAGAGTTCCCCTTGAAAGGGAAAAGATGACGATCGCCCGTGCGAGGTGATCATCTATTCTAGACAACGAGATGCGTACTCCGTACGTGGGACGAGATCGCGCTTGCGTGAGAGAGAGGCACTTCCGTAACGGGGGCCATTGAGCGACCCTTGCACGAGTCTGACGGCCGAGAGAGTGGGCAAGAGGACGGACGAATATCCCAGTCACACAGGAATCTAGTATCTGGGTTGATGTTGCGCACAATCCTCTGCGTGCTTTGACACTTTGACGGGCCACACACACACACACCATGATGCTCCGTACATGAACCAAATGGAAACCAGCAGAAACCCCCAAAAAGCCTCGTCGGAAGCGTTCTTGGTTCTCAATGGCTGGACCATGGCAGCTGCGATTGTCCGGTTTGAAATGGAACCCCTGCAAAGGCCCAAAAACGACATGTCAAGGGATGGCCACCCACCCTTCCCGCTTTTTTTCCTAGCCAGGAAGCCTCGTCTCGCCTCGCCTCTGTCCGCGTCTCGTGGACCTGACATCTCCGAGGCAGAAGAGCCTTCGAGCCTTCGAGCCTTCTAGCCTTCGAGCCTTCGCGCCTTCGCGCCATTCATGGATGGCTCGGTGCGGAGTGGTACTAGCAAGCCGCCAGCCTCAAACCTTGTTCGAGATCTACAGCCATCCATGGACGGCGCATGTGGGTGGCTTCAATCTTCTTCATGGACGGCTTCTCCGCGTTAGCGGCGGACGGCCCTTGGTCTTAACTCGGATAGTCATATTCCGGATACATGGCATGTCCGCCACAGAGGGACGATGGCGTTGCCGCTGCCTGATCCACTGCCTGCCGCTTCTCGGTCGTTGACCGGGAAATGTGTCGGCGCTATCGTGTGTTAGCCACTTCATCTGGTAATGGACGGAGCACTAGTATTTGTACGGTACATACTCCGTACATACATTGTACGGAGTACGGAGTATGTATGTATGCAGGAGACTCTGTCAGACAAACAAGCCATTACGGAGCAGTCCAGGTGTGGCTCATCCTAGCCTTTCGGTCAACAAGTCCCTCGAGACATTCCGACTTCCAATTACAGAAAATTGGTAATGAGTCTCTTTCAAAAGCACATCTTGTCTTACAGCTCTAGCTCTGTACGACTCCCTACTCCGTGCTCCGTTCTCCGTACTCCCCTACGCCGTGCTCCCATACACTGGCATGGGATGAACCGGCATTGGCGCCTGTCAGTTACATTAGGGGAAACGCATGCTGTATTTGGAGCGAGCTGCATCGCTGCTTGAATCTTGGTTTGCACCGGAGACCTTGCTTCCCTGCCCACTGGCGCATCCTTCTTCCCACACTCCAGGCTGCTGGAATCATGTCGACACTGGCCATTTTGCATGCCTGCATCTTGATCCGAGAAGGGGGCCCATCCCGTCTGGGGCATACGGAGTCGTGCTCCCTCCATGCTACCCAGGTATTTCCATGGCTGTGCGACCATGAACTACAATGCAGCAGTGCCTACTCCGTGCTCCGTACTCCGTATGTAATGTACATACATACTAGCATGCTAGATTGCTGTCACCCGCCCGTGGTTGTGGCACAACCAACGTGCAACCGCACACTCGGCGAACTGAAATAAGGTTTATCACATCAAACCAACACACACACTCTCTCTCTCATACGAGGATCCAGCACCTGTTGGGCCAAGGTCTCGGCTCCGCAATAGGCCGCCGTCCTTTGACAGGGCCGTGCTGTTGGCTGCTGCCACGAGAAGGCTCTCTCTTTTCTTGGTGGTGGTGGTTGTTGTTGTTGTTGTTGTTATTTTAGCCTTGTCATCTACTCCGTACGCGCGCCACTGACGCCTATACACACCTTCCATCTTGCACTCGCTATTCGCACTCGGCTGCTTGCGCGCATGATTGGACATTCTGGTCAGTTAGTCACGGTGGTCTGAGCCCACTATGGATGTCAAGGTGTTGGTTTTTCTTGCTGGCGTCTTCATCTCCTCCTGTTCTTGTGCCGTTGGCCCAGCCTGGAATGGCCAAAGCGTCTATTTCCGCCTCCATGAATGGGCTACCAGGTGACTGTGACCGAAAAGAATGGAGGCTGGCAAAGGAGACCAGGTCCTGTCAGGATGCGTCATGGGGGCCAAGCAGGCCTGGAACTCTGGACCTCCTCCCTTCTTCTCCTCCTCCTCCTCCTCCCTCTCCAGCTCCTGCTCCTCAGCCGCCGCTGCCAGGCCCCCCTTTCAAACCTTTCCAACAGCTCTGGACGAATGAAGACGGCCGTCAAAGGAGGCAAAGGCGGTTACAAATTGCTTATCAATAACAACCAAGGAGACTACAGGAAACAACTAAATACCTCGTCAGGAAGAAGATGGCTAATTCCGTTCATATCCTCGTCGCCGCCGCGCTGCACCGGCCCCGCCAGGTCTGCAGCCACACCCTCCCCCTGCCTGCTCCCAAGTTGCCCTGGCTCTTTTTTTAATACATTCTTTTTTTGTCGTTGCTTCATGACAGCATCCTGGTGTGGTTCCCTTGGTGCCAAGCGCCAACCAAGGAGAAAGAATGGGCAAAATAAATAGACTGGAGAAAAAAAAAAAAAAGGAAAGGAAAAAATAAAATAAAATAGTCTTTGATGTCGTTCACGCCGGATGCCAGGCCCGCCCGTGCCTATTAATGGTTACTCCAAGATTTTCCATTTTGGAGACATTGTCTCGGGAAGTATGCAAAAGGGGGACATTGTTTGAGATCGATGATGTAGAAGGAACAAGAAGCCAACCAAGACCCCGAAAAAAGACACAGGCAACTGGGAAAGAGAAATAATCAAGTCGAAGAAATATAAAAAAAAAACGACAAAAAAGGCAGGGCAAGGGAGCGACCAAGGCGGGTATTCAAAGTACAGAAAATTAAAACAGGAAAACCAAGAAGATGAGAGAACCTATTCGCAACACTTGCCCTGCCATGATCCAAAAAGTTGTTTCGTTATTTGCTCCTTGCCATCCATGATCCATGATCCATCCTCCCATCCGTCATCCATCCATCCCCTTGTTGATCCGCATCAGGGATGCAGTCCAGCACAAGCCAGGTCAAATCCCCCACACCGCCATCAATTTCATACAAAATTGCACACTTTCGTGTCCCTCTCACCAGATCCACGACCCCATTCAACCTCTTTGCGGGAAAGCCAATGCAAACAATACCCGTCCTTCCCCACTTGTGCTGCGAGTGATGTAGTTTCCCGGCGGTCGTGTTCCCATCCATCCCTCGCAAGGCCCTGGCAGGCCCAGAATACACCGTGTACCGCGTCGTCTTTGGGTGCACTCCGTCTTGCAGGTAGTTGAACTACTCTGTGCCAAATCAAACGAAAAAACACTTGTGCCAATTAGCCCGCGCCTGAAGCTTTGCTCATCCGAGTTTTATTAGTGTGCCCCGAGAAAGAATCAATCAAAAAACGACCAAGAGTAGGAAAAAAGTATATGGAAAAAAAAACCCCGAAAAATCCGAGCAAAAAAAAAAAGGGGGCGTGGTCCCCTTCTAAGAGTCTGTCTTTGCCCACCCCTTGTCGTCTTAGCTAATAAATTGCCCTTTCTCTCTTTCTCTCTCTTTCTCCCTCTTTCTCCCTCTCTGAACCTCTAAAGTGTGAGATGTCGTTGGTTGGTGTGGCTTTCAAACACCACATGCATGACAGGCCAAGATTGTGGGCGTGGCAACAAGTTGAAACCAAAAAAGGCACTTGCTTTTACTCGTATTGGCTAGCGCCGTTTCCGTTATAGTGATACTAGCCTACTATAGTAGTACCAGTAGGACGTACTATTCGCATTTCCGGCTTGGGTGGCTTTTTCAAAGAGCGCCAAGTCCGGTTGGCGGCACAATTGATGGGTAGAAGCCACCCGGACTGGGCCGGCCATCAAAACGTTCTCGATGATGATCGTCCGTCCGTGCCCCCCCGCTGAAAGGGCTGGGCAGCATGTTGAAGTCAAACTCGGGCTTGACTTTGCGTTCGTTGGTGGCGTGGTTCGGAAGGCTCGAGTGCAACGTGTCTGTGCCATTTCTGTGGCCAAACAAGTCCACCCTGTCGCTATGACTTTCATACGACGAGGACGACCCTGCTCCGCTAGCATAGTACTGATATGTCTTGTTGGAGGGTTTGTCGTCGCCCGAGGAGAAGATGCTCTCCGGAGACATTTCTTGGTGCCTGACGTTGTTGTAATTGGTGCCACGACCGTCGTACCCTGAGTTGTAGCCTCCGAGCCCAGGTCCCGTCATGCCAGAACCGTTGCCAAAATCTCCCATTGGGCCCATGGATCGGTATCCTCCGCTGCCAGCGGCACCGCCTGTGCCATTTCCTTGGCTGTTGCGTCGCTCGTTTTGATAGTGGCCCGGGGAGCGGCCGCGAACAATCATTTTTGCCGATTTCCGAAATGCAACCTTGACAAACTGGTCGCTGGCTTGCGTTCCGACGTCTGCCCATAACTCGACCACGAGGTGATAGTACTGTTGCGCCGCCCGTCTCTTGCCATTGTTCTGGGTTGCCTGCTTGAACTGGATACGCTCAAAGGTATGTTCGGTTGGTACCTGTTGGCCAACGTTGGTCTGACCGCCGAATCCGTCGGCATACAGACTCCGGGAGCTGGAAAGGCCTGAGCCATCCCCGTATATGCTAAGCGAAGGATTATGTGGCGTTGAGCTGGTCTTTGGCGCAATGAGAGTCTTGGACGGTTTGGATATTGGGCCTTTGTCTCTCTTTGGTGTGTGCTGGACAAGTTCAATGGCGTGCTGTTCATTGTCTGCCACTACGGCCGATATGCACATGGCAAACCCGTAGACTTGAAACGTTTGCGTCGTGCTCGTCCCGGTCATTGGTGTAGGTGTGAATTGTATCCCAGGGCCGGGATAACTAGGACTGAGGCTGAAGGAGCAAATGCACGCCAGATAGTTCCGCCTATAACACGTCCATTCCCGATCCGAGGACAGAAACGGCCCTTTGTCGATGACGCCCGAGATGTCTGGTTTGATGTTTGTCATATTCGGGTCCAAATACTGCAGAGTACCCATCATCTCCATGGGTAGGAGAGGAGGGACGTCATTTTGCCCGGGCCTGTGATTAAACTGATGCGACGAATCCATTCTTGTGACGGGAGGCGTGTAACCTGCCAATGGGTTCTGTGACCCAGTCAACTGTTGTCTTCTAGATCCGTGGAAGGAAGGGGACCGGTTAAATTGATCTGACACTCGTCTATATGGTGCGACTGAGTTGGGAAACTGGTCCCGGGAGTTATTGATGTGAGGGCCCAGATGCGGCAGGGTCGTAGTACGGTGGTTGTGAAGTTGGACATGTGCCATGCCCGTCGACGGAGTAGAGCTATAGGAATAGTTAGAGAAGTTGACAAGAAACAATCAAGTAAGTTTTTTTTCCCCTCTTCTTTCTTCTTTCCCCTTGTCTTTAGGCTTAGTTTGTTTTGGCTTTTGACTTTTTTGGCTCTTGGGGTCTTGAGCCTTGTTCATGTTGGATGGATGGATGGACGGATGGATGTTGGTTGGTGCCATGGTCCGGGCTACCTACTTTGTATTCAGACGCAGCCTGCCATCTGGAAAGATCGACCCACTGGCGGGATAGAAGCTGCTTGAGTCGTGCGTATAGCTGTTATTTGGGTGGAAGATGCCCAGAAGAGGTGACGCTTCGTGAGCATCTATCGCGAGCGACGACGGGCCGCTGTCTTGGTTGTATCTATCCATTGGTTAGCCTGGGGCGGGCGGTTCGACGATGCAGTAAGTTTGAGAAGTGCTCGAAATTGAGATTACGGCATGGGAGTTGACTACCACAAAAGATGCTGTCCTGCCTTTCCCATGCAAAACAATGTGTTCGAGTGCCACCAAACTTCTTGGTAATACTGCCAACGCCTAGGTTGCACGAGACAAGCCGATGGGGAAGAAACAGGCAGGCAAGGTAGATAGGTACTCGGGCGGCTCAAAACGCCTTGACCTATGTTGAACAACGACAAGAGGTTTATAAAGACCAACTCAAAGGACAGGAGGACCCACGACAAAAGTTTACACAAAGAGGACTCTTTTCCCTCTTCTTCTTCTTCTTCTTCTTCTTCCTCTCCTCTCTCTCTTCTTTTCTTCTTCCTTTTTCTTCTTCTTCTTCTTCTTCGTGATTGTGTGTGTATGTGTATGTGTATGTTTTATGATCAATATGTTTAATTGAGTTTAGTGAATTAAAAAAAATGGCAAGAAAAAGCTTCTCGTCCAAGTATCTTAATATCTGTTGACCATGCGAGCGCAAGCTCCCAGGGTATCGACAGACGTCGGGGAAGATTGGTGCTCGCAATGCGACCTAGCCAGGCCAGCCTATGAGACCAGAGCTAAAAGGGGACTTGAACAAATAAGAAAACAAGACCGTAATGAAGGAAACGGTGACACTCCCAGTGCTGCACTAGCTGCAACGAGAACAAGCTACCAATGAAAATGTGTACGCACCTCAACTCTCCCGTCGGGGGTTGTATATCGAGGTAGTCAAGTTCCGCACATGGCGGCGGCGAGGAGTTGTAATCGTTCTGTAAGCAAGCAAGACGTCAGTTCACGTTTCCGCTTCGCATGGTTGTCCACACCAAGATCTGTACAAGAAGACAGCACTGGCCAGCCACAACAGGACTTGTTTTGGGGGAGTGATCCAGGCGCCGTCACCGAGAGACCCGTGATATAGCCATCTGCCTTTCCGATTTGTTAGCCAGAAGGACCCCAGTATTCAAGGCAAGACATCAATGGCAGGCTGAGGGTGGCCGGGGGCCTCCAGTTCGGGATCCCTCTGCATGTTAGGTGGACGCGCATCAGGCAGGGTAATGCAGCTGGGTCCAGACACCGAGTACAGTACTTGTGAATACTCCCGTGCTCCCAGAGCTTCAGGCACAGTAGCCAGGCGTGCAGGACTTTGCAAGGATTATGCAGAGTTGTCGGAACAAGGACGCCACGCATCGCCCGGGGTGTGCTCCTCGACGTTACACGAACCCACCCGGGGTATGGAAGTGGATGTTGTTGTGGATGTGCTCGACGTGATTGCCTGCCGCCTTGTTCTGAATGACGGAAATTTTGCATCAACACGTCCATATCTTTCTCTGTCCATGTATCTCTCCGCATCTTGAATACTTGGCTCCGGAATATCAAAGACGGGGGCCGTGATTTGACCGAGAGGGAGCACGACTCTGTGCCCGGCCACCAGCCCAGACCACCACCACTTACCATCTGCAGGGGTCAACGGTGGGAGAGAGCATTCAACATATTGAACATACCTTCAAGGAGTGGATACACTCCATTGCGGACCAATTTCTGCAGTTGGGGCAGTTGGAGTTGGTGCACTCGGGAATGCCGCCAGGGAGTGCGAAATTTCTGGCTGCCTTTGGGCTCAGTCATGGCGTGCCCCTGGTGACGTGACAAGCCTCCATTTCTCTCCATTTCTCCATTTTTCGAAGAGACCGAATGAAAAGTCTCCGGCAAGTACCTGACGAGATCGGAGATAACTCTTCCTTACCTTGGAGGTTTGTGGATGCATTAGAAAGCTTATATGTGCCCGGGCCGATTTCGATCAAGTTGAAAGGAATACCGAGTAGAATGTCCGATACTATGATATACCAAACGACCTAGAGGATAGAAAATAGGCGTCAGCCAAACTTGTCCGTGCTGTAATATCAATTCGCTGCCTCAACACAGCATCCACATACAATCCGGAGCCTCGTACTACTATGATAACCAGGCCCCTAATAAAACAGGTTTAATGAATCGACGCGAGATGTTTAAATTTGCATCAAGAGATTGGCCGTGTGCCCCGGAAACTATCCATAGTCACCAAATTAACATGACAAGACGACGAGGCACTATGTGAGAGTATCGACTCTATCGATCGACTTACTAAAACTCCAACTGAAAACCAGGAATGGCAAGCAGCACGGGTTTTTTTGTTCTTCTCCCACCAGGAAGCCCGCTTGAAATGTTGTAAAGTGGTGTATTTTACAACGTATCACAACCAAGAACCCTGTTATCGTACAAATTGTTAGTATTGCGTTGTAAGATGTGCCAAGGCCTTGATAAACAAGGGCTATTATTGTCATTTGGGTGGTGCCATCTTCTTCGCCAAGAAGCCAAAAATGAAAAATAAAAAATAAGAAGAAGAGGAGAAAAACAGAGAGACAAAGGACAAAAATACTCGCAGCAACTCGGAAGGACATGCTTCGAATTTCTAATAACCTGACCCACCTGCTCGGGAGAAAATGCTGTTGCATCTAATTCAGACTGTGGATGTTATGAGGAGGCAAAGAGACTCAATCGCAAATCCAATTCGAATACTACGAGAGATAACTCAGTATCTCAATTCGCTAAACAGCACTCTCTTGTCAGCTGGTACCAAGCTGCGAATGACAGGGCAAAAGCAGGCACCGCGTAACAATGGCCCCTGTGTGTGTCCGGCCTTGGGCGAAGAACGGTTTCTGAGCCGCCGACTTCGCACCCTTGTGGCTGGTGTGTATCGCGTGGGAAGATGGGTTCGTACTCGTAATTTCAACTGACAAGAGATGGTAGATGTAGCACGACATCCAGAGAAAGGATGGATAATAAAAACAGGCTATCACCTCCCAGCACGCAGGCAGGTGAGTAATGGATGTTGAATAAGATGACGTCTGCAGAGAGATGTTTCAATGATGGCAAGCAGACATGAACAAGTTGAGAAAGCACGGCAAAGACGGAAAGACAAACAAACCAGACCCGTTGCGAGGTCTGGTCCCTTTTTGAGTAGAAGGCCGAAGGGTTGCTGAATCATACGAAAAGGATACGGGACATGGCCAAATAATAACCCTTGTTGGCGAATCCAACACACCTTTTTCTCCAAATTGAACAGGAAACCTGCGGAGCTAAGCAATAGTCAGGGGATTGGCTTTCCGCTTGCCACATTCAAGCGATGCGGATAGAGAGCCATGAAAAGCTGCAGGGGCATGGCCGTCTTGACGTGGCATTGGCGTGTCGGTCAACTCAATGTGAAATCCTTCAGAGCTGGTCAGTAATATTCATCATTCCCAGGCTGGCTCCCAATACTCAGAAGAGCGGACGAGGCCTCTCGAACCTCAAACCTCAAACAGGCGCCCCCGTGTGGCCGCCAAAGAGGCACGCCGGTAGATCAGTAGGACACTCCTCTCTTGCATCAGGCCCGTCCCAATGCAGATGTCACAGCGACTGACCTTCTCCTACATTTCAAGGAGGCGTCCATCATTGCCTGTCCACGGTTAGAACTCCTCTCGGCCGAGCTACAGAAGGTCATGCCTACCGACTGCTCGGTCCGGCCGCCTGTTTGCCATGGGCAGTATCCAATAGCATGGCGATGCTGCCACCCGACGGCCAAAAGCAGGATTCATTCTACGGTCCGTTATCTTGATAGGCCACAAGTTAGGCTTTGATGAAGAGGTGGCGGCGACACGGGTAGTTGCATGTCTGAGAGATGTCACCGCTTCTGTGACGAGCTCATCAGAAACACTACGACTGTGTTCGAACATACCTCACGCCTGGGGCTATGAAACGTGGTATGTTGGTCTCACAATTTCATGCTAGGTTTGTTTGGAAAAGAAAGTTGACTCTTTGCCTCGCAGGGCCTGCTTCCAAATCACCGTCGTGGCAGCAGAGCCAGATTCCCAGTTCCTGCCCGGGAAGGAGCGAATCCCCACGAACTCGATTGAATAAATACTTGCGGAAGGAGGCAAACACTGGACCACCCTTTGTGTTGCCAAAAAAAAAAAAGCACTTGACCTCAGATAACGAGAACAAACCCGAATTGCGATTAATGATAGAAGCCAGACTCAGCACCTATTATTTTGACGCTTTGCACCGAGCATTCGTCCCAATCCCGGGTTTTCGGGCCTTCCGCATGGCCACGCGACATGCACCCAGGGGGGAGTGTAGGGAGTGGCCATCAACTTGAGCTCCTGGTGATACGATAAAAGCAAGTCTCACGGCATGTCCATTCAAAGATGGCGGCATTATGTCCCAACATGTTAGTGTTAGTCCATGGGAGCCCAAGCGGATTC